TGTAAAAAAAAAAAAAAAAAAAAAAGAATAGCATTTTATTCCAGATTCCCCTTTTCAGGCAAGAACTCTGCCGTTATTTGTTGAACTTGGGTTGCCGAGCCCTGTCAGTCAAATAAGTAATAAGTAATAGTTTTTTTTTACCTTAAAAATATAAAGGAAAAAGCGCTGTTTATGCGGTTTTGCTCAGTTAACTTATTTTGCCACTGTCCTTTTTCCCATCTGTTTGTCCTTGAAAATAATTTTATACATCTGGCCACTTTAGAGGCTTTTTGTGTTTAAATAAGGCTGGTGGTCGAAGCCAGTTGAAGTAAGGGCAGATATATCAGACTAATGTGATAACAGTTGATAATTAATGATGAATATCACAGATTTGTTTTTGTTTTTTTGGTGGCCAAAAATAACGCGTTAACGGAATGATTTTCAAACCAGGTACAGTTCCAAACACCCTTGTAAATCCCGAAGCGGTCTGTAGGTAAAATATGAAAGTAACAAACCGTAACCCGTAATATGTAAATATTATATGTTCTTTCTGTTCGTTAGTCATTTGACATACAGTCGACTGCTAATAACATTTTGTAATAACTTGAACCCTCGCTAACTCGACCCAAAGTCGCTTTCCCTTGAATTTCCACACATTTATTGTAATCAGTTACCCTCGGTAAATCGAACCCTCGACAACTCGAATCGGCCCCGCTAACTCGAAGTAATTTTTATTTCCCTTCAGATCATTTCTATATAATTTTACACTCGGTAACTCGAACCATCCGAGTCCGAGACAATGAATTTATTTCAAAACAACCGTGTCAATTCTTTGTCTTTACTTTTGATACTCCAGTTCAAATTCAGTGTCCATCTCTGTAAACTGTTTTTGCTTAACTACATTTTCACTGCCCATTCATTTTCTTATTTTCGGTTATTTACTTTAAACTCACGATGACTCGAACTTTTTTCGATTTCCCTGCAATATTCTAGTTAGCAAGAGTTGACTGTATTTCTTCCAGATGTTCCGGGTGTTCAGTAGAACATGTGTTCAGTTCCTGGTTTCCCATAAGTCCTTGCAAGCATTGCTTCACCGAGATCCGATCGAGTCTTGAAAATTCTTTGAAACCGCTCAATTTCCCTACTGGACAAATCATGTTTAAATTATTCGCGAACAAGTAACCATGACGTAAAGAATGGAACAAGCATTTCTTTAGCGCGAGCAGTATCGACTTGGATGAAGTGTTGAATGGAAATTCTATATCGATTCTATAGCATTTAACTTCCGTTGGTCTTACGACTGAACCAACACGTTCAGTTTTCGGCCGGATATATTTGAAACTGATTGTTCACCTTGGCGATCCATCGAAACGCTTAACTATGGCTAATTTAAACTGATCTACCGCAAGTCAATGGTTCAAGGAATATCACATCCGAAAATGGCATTTTTGCTCAAACGATTTACACAGAAGAAACTCATCGATACTAAATCACTCTCTCAATCCAAGCTGTCTCGCTGTTTATCCATATTCGATCTAACATCGCTGGGGATAGGTAGTACTCTTGGTGCTGGAATTTATGTTTTAACCGGAGAGGTCGCTCGATCGATCGCCGGACCTAGTATTGTTATATCATTCTTCATCGCAGCTGTTGCTTCCGTTCTCTCAGGACTGTGTTACGCCGAGTTTGGTGCCAGAGTACCTAAAGCAGGCTCGGCGTACATCTACAGTTACGTGACTGTGGGCGAATTATGCGCTTTTATCATCGGTTGGAACTTGTTTTTAGAATATGTGATCGGCGCCTCGTCCGTTGCTCGAGCTTGGAGCGATTATTTTGACTCCATTCTCGACGGGAGAATTCGAAATTTTACTTTGGAACATTTTGGTGAAATTCACGCCGACGGCCTGTCAACATATCCCAATTTTTTTGCGGTATTACTTCTGATGTTTGTAACTCTTGTCCTTGGGATCGGTGTGAAAAACTCTTCTCGATTTAACATAATATTCACAGGCATAAACTTATGTGTTATTCTGTTTATAACATGCGTGGGGATATATTTCGCCAAGGGCGAAAACTGGACACGAGATTTCGCTCCATTTGGGATATCCGGTGTTTTCTCCGGTGCAGCAACTTGTTTCTACGCTTTCGTTGGTTTTGATGTGATCGCGACGACCGGCGAAGAAGCTAGAAATCCGAGCAGAGCGATACCGATTTCTATCGTGTTGGCTTTAGGTAAGGAACGTCGCTCAGTCGAATTTGTTAACCTGCTAATTTGTTTTACAAACACAATGAATAATTCGGTGCCGACCGCTTGCCGGGTTTAATTTGTGAGCTCAGGTGCGCCAATTTTATAAGGCTAATATTCTGACTAGCCTGCGCAGCAAGCGTTTCCGTGCGGTTTCGGAGCAAAGAACGAGGAACGAGAGTCAAAGACCGCGCGAAAAATGGGGAACAATGGCGCGAGTAAAAGAGCGGGGAGGGGGTGGGAAAGAAAGGTAAGGTAAGGTAAGGTAAAGAGTTTCCTATCTTCCCCTCCCCTCCCCTCCCCCCTCTTTCATTTTTTGGCTCTCGTTCCATTTTTCGCGTGGTCAAAACCGAAAATCCCATTCCTCAGTCTTTCTTTGCTCCAAAACCAAAGGGAAACGCTTGCTACGCAGGCTATATTCTGACAAGCTCTTTTGATTCTGTCTAATACTGATTTATTATAGAGAGAATTATTTATCGTTAAACAGAGTTAAGTAGGTATCCAGATTTTAAATTATGCCATTTATATCTTTAACACCATCTGTCACGACACATGTTCCGCTTTCATTCAATATTACTAGTTCTGGGATTGTTTCTTAGCCAACAAAACCCCATAACATTTAACCCTGTAAAACCCTAATATCAAAATTAAGATTCTCATTTATAGCCCCTATACTTTTCAATAGAAGTAGTAGGGAGAATTTATTAAAAGTTTTGCGTTTTGTTCGGTCACGAAGCTTCATTAACCTTGTTTACGTACCGTATTATTCCGAAAATAAGCCCTGGGGCATATATTTTTTAAAAGCCCTTTCTGGAGGGGCTTATATTCAGAGGGGTTCATGTACGAAGGAAAGTTGCGTTTCAAAATCGGCTAGGCTTATACTGGGAAAAATATGCGTCTCAAAATCCATTAGGTTAGCTTATAATTGGAACGAAATTTATGTCAGTAATTTGCAACAACAAGTTTTTACTGAAACACGCCTTGAGGACGTAGATCTTTCTAAAACTCAGCCATGCAAGTACTTTGTCCATATGGACCGAGGAAATCCAAGACAAGACTAAAGAGTACACTGTGACACTTTTTGACTGCAATCATTTGGCACACGTAATAGTTACTCTACAGTTTTTGCTTCGTTTTATTTTGAATTTGAGAGCAATTTCCCAGTACAAGCCCCCGGGGGCTTGTATTTGGGGTGCGATTTATCGGAGAGTTTTTTGCGTTACGAGTTTGGGGAGTTTATATTTGGAGGATCTTATTTATGGAATTTTAGGGTATCAGATTTTGTGTGCTATAATTAAGCGGCTCTCAAATTGAAGACATCTGTAGCTATATTTCAGTGTATTCAGTTATAATTCAATCTTCTTGCACATAGTCAATCGAAAAAGTTTCTGGTTTTCCCTGTTTAATTTATTACGTACCAGTAGTTAACTATGAATTGCACCTGTTATGGCACCCGTCGCCAAGACGGTGATTGAAATTTGACGCCGCAAAGGGTCCATTGAATGCGTGATCTTTTTTTCTTAACTTAATGTGTCTCTTGCCGTAATTTTAAACATCTGCATTTTAAATTTCTTTTTTATGTATTTTATATTGGACTTTTTGTTAGTTTCAAAATGTTTAGATTAAACTTCCGCCACCTGTTTGCACACGGGTTGTACCAGTTCCTCTACACCGTCTAGTTTTGATACATAGAGACAAGGATTGTGCAATCTTGTTTTCTTCTCTTTTTCTCTTTACTTTCAATACTGCACGGTTCATTGTCGAGAACAATAAACAAGAGAGACGGAAAACAACTTATCTTATATGGATAGTAGTGATATAATATCTAATATTTATCTTGTATGTTACGGCAGTTCAGTTCAGCTGAGCTGTCTATCCTGTTTCCTTGTTTCCTATTAAACCTTGGCGGTTCTTCGAGAGCAGTTAATCACAGAAAAGCTGGTAAAACCTGAAAAAGCTGGAAGACGGACTGGCCGGTGTAGCATGTTCACACTTTCACCTAAGAAATCGCCAAGCGCGCATATGAAAATAAAAACCGCGAGGGCTTACTGAGCACTAGGCAAAAGAGGGTGGGCAGGGTGCGTTTAAATAAGTTCTTGTATTTCGAGCTCCGCGTTCTCACGCTTTTCGCTCGCTCTTGCGTGCTCCCTTGGCTCGTGCACTCGCAAACTTCGTCGAAAAAGAAAGAAAATCGCCTGTGACAGGCTAATGCTGTTGGGACCAGGTCTCTAACAGGGTTTGCAGAGGTGCGCGTTGACGGAATTGCATGAACAGATCTTAAAGTGTTAATTCTTTTTACTCAATTAATATCTGTAAATTTATATCTTTTGCAGGTATCTGTTTTCTGGCTTTTTTTGGTGTCTCAGCCGTGCTGACACTGATGTTGCCCTACAACGAATTATCCAATAGAAGCGCTCTCCCTGATGCGTTCGCAACTCGAGGAGCCCCGTGGGCCAAATACATTATAGCCGTCGGTGCCCTCTGCGGATTGAGTGCCTCCTTAATTGGATCCTTGTTTCCTTTACCCAGAATGCTGTATGCCATGGCTAGTGACGGGCTAATCTTCAAGTAAGAAAAGGAATAATTATTCTCCGTTATAAGAACTAGGATTTTTGATTTAAATTTTGTATCCCGCATTCAGATGTGCGTCACACATATAGCTCTTATATGGTTTAACTCTTCTAGTACTTTGATTAAACGATACTGACGAAATTATGTGAAGTTAAGATGGGGAGGGAATATCACAAAGTCTAGAAAAACAAATTTGAGCATTATCAAATGATATTATCTCCGGGTAATGATAAAATAAGTGGCAAAATGTTGGAAAAATCACCAAATCACGTTACAATGTGAAAGAACGTCGACAGTCTTTTAATTGAATCGTTGGGTTCAAACTGTAGAATTTGGGGGGGTGACCTGGCTTAATGTGCAATATAACTGAGTCGCATCTGACAGAAAAGGAAAATTTACGGACGGACGAACTAGGCATACAAACTTGACAGATGGATGGACAGATTGAAAGAAAGAAATACTTTTACCTATCCTAACGAACGGACGGACAGACGGACAAAAATCTGGTAGAAGAAATGATTTTACCTATCCCGCCGGACGAATGGAACGTACAGACTTAGGGAAGGACTAACTAAAGAAACTGGGCGGACAGAAACTCTGACAGAAATTTTACTTATCCCGATGGACCAGCGGACGGACAGAAATCTTTTAAGGACAGCAGGACTGGATGGACAGACAGACGGACAGACAAACAGACTAGACGGACGAACAAATGAACACGGACAGATGGACAAAAATCATTTATAAGAACTGATTTTACCTATCCTGGCAGACGGACGGATTTACTGGAGGGACTCGACGGTGACGATGTTATAGAGTGGTAATATGCCATCGAATCGATGGTATAATGCTCGCGTCTTTCAAATATGGTCAGCACAAGCTGGTTATGAAGAATTAGCCGGGGGATTAAAGCCAATCAGAAACGGCGACTTATTTTGAATGAATACTAACTAACATCCCGCCGTTTTTCTTATTTGTTGTAGGTTTCTTGCCAAGGTGCACCCCAAAACTGAGATCCCGGTAATTGGTACAGTCCTATCCGGGTCACTTGCAGCTTTCCTGGCCTTAATATTGGACCTTGAAGCACTGGTAGAAATGATGTCTATTGGTACTCTGCTAGCCTATACAATAGTGGCATTGTGCGTTTTGCTGCTCCGCTACCAGCCTGGTAGTATAGGCATTGTAAAGGGAGGGGAGCGAATTTTCTCAACCAACGACGAAAGCTTAGAAGACGAACAAGAAATGGCGGAGGAAGGCACTCGACTCACAGGTGCATTGGAAAATAACGGCCCAACTCTACAAACTGCCCGGCGTGCCGCCATTGCAATTTACTGCAGCCTCACCTTGTTTTTCTTCTTGAGTGTCTTTCTCATCTGGGGAACCGAGGCTCTTTCGAAGGGTCAATCATGGGCTATCATTCTGGCTATTATCCTAGGTGTTCTTGTCATTGCCTGCATAGTGCTCCTTACACGTCAGCCCCAGAACAAAACGCCCCTGCCGTTTATGGTGCCTTTTGTGCCTGCTATCCCGCTCTTCTCAGTATTTATTAATGTCTTTCTGATTCTGAAGCTTTCTCACCTGACGTGGATACGTTTTGGCGTTTGGATGGCTATTGGTAAGTATCAGAGTAAAGTCAAAACTAAAAGTGATATAAATACTAGCCCCATTCATACCTATCCGTTTTTGTTTGAGGACGGAGAGTTTTTTCTCCGCTTTGGCCTACCATTTACAGGTATCCGATGAAGACGGCCACCGAAAATGCATGTGAAAACACCGGCTTATCGTTTTCGTCTCGCAGAACGAACTGAAAACGGAGGTTTTCAAATATGATAATGTTATAAATCATACAGCGCATGCGTTGTGAGGCATGATATTGTATTTCCGTCTTGTAAGCGTTTTCCTGTGGACGGGCAAAAACAATTCGCCACGTGTGGACGTGTATTTTTTCAAAAACAGAGAAAAAAACTCCGTTTTTCGGGTACATGTGGACGAGACCTCAGTTTGCTCCTGTTGGTTCGAAACATACAATAGACTGTTTACTTTCTTTGCTTATTTACTAAGCATTAATTTATAGTTTTATTGAAAAGCTTCACTTTTCAATTCAATTTTGTACTTAGTGATGGAGATGGAGAAAGGTGGTTCTTGGGTCTTCGATAAACTCCTTTGTTCTGACCATTCAACTGAATTGTTTTTAACAGCACTTTCACATGGTAATATTTGATTTCCAGCATTTTCGAGAAAAAATGCGGAAATTTTGTGATATTTAGACTGTGGCTACTATTGGGAGTAAAAACGTTAGGCCGATTATTGCAAAGTGTTGGTAAGTATTATTTCCAGATGAAATGTTTTTCCTTAACGCAAACGAACGTACCACTTGTTTATTCTTTTCTATACCACTCTCAGCTTCGGTGTTTTAAAACCCGCCCTTTTAATTTCTCAACATGAATGAATTCATAGAAATCGCACTCTAGTCTGTTACTTCAAAGGTTTTTTTTTTGTGTGAAAACGACATCGTTTTGTGTTTAATGACTGTCTGTTTTTAACCGCCGGAGCTTAAAAAATTGGTTAGATGCCACGAAGTAGGTGGCATAGCCTTAACCATGTGTTGTAGGTTGAAAGTCCGAAGACTTTTCTCGTCCTTATCGAGGGAGATGCTAACCTTCTCTCGGCTCATACAACACGATCTCCACATCGCCCTTTCTGTCTATATATACAACACGGCTTGTTCTTTCTTTCGCTTGTGGTACAAACTTTTCTACCCATTTTTCGTTTCCGGAGTTTAACGAAATTTAGTAAAATACCTCTCAAAAAGTTTTATGATAATTTTTGTTGATATTGTTCAGTTTTTTTTTTTTCATTTTTAATACATTGTGCTATTTGTTACAAATCATAGCGTTCTATGTACGCATGCGCAAAGACAGTAACAAAATTGTATTCGGTTGTTAAAATGATTTATTTTCGGTTCACCTTTGTGAATTATATTTAAAGCATTAATCTAAAGTATGCGATGACGAAATACAAGGATGTCTATAATTTGTTATAAAAATCGGTCTTGCCATCCACAGCAAGCTCTTTCTGCCGCCTCAGATAAGTGAACGATTTTTCAGTGAAATTTGTACTAGCACTTGCTACCTGTAACGTTAAAACCATATCAGGGCTCGGTTTCTACTATCTGAGAGTTTCTGAAGGGGTGACCTGGCTAGAGCTTTTTGTTCCGTGGTTTCCTATTTAAAAGTCTATTCTACTGCTGAAGAGCCTTCGTTTTTTCTTTCGTTTCGTTAAATAATTGTCTTTTTACATAACATATCGAGTGTACCAAGAGACTACAGTCAGAACGGGGGCCAGGTAAATCTTGCCTTAATTGCCGATTGTAAAAAAAGAACACTGAACAACAACAACAACAAACAGCGGAGAAACCGGCAGAAAATCTGGGTAGGAACCACAGATCAGGCTCTGTATGGCTCATTTTGTAAGTATCCTTTTCGGTTCGAACATCCCTGTCCTCGTTATTAACTGATGATCACACAGGTATAATAACGACCAAAGAACGACCTACCTTTTTTTTTGTCAGCCTAGACTTTTTAAAAAAGTGTTACATTACTGTCTAAATCCTGACCGTTTCTAAGTCCGGCTATATTAGGGACCTAAAAATGCGAGGACGACGACGGCGGAGAAAACGTGGCTTAAAAAGAGTATTCGTAGCTTTTATATCTTCATCGATGTTATCCCAACTCACTTATTTTGTCAGATGTATACAACCTCTCCTAGAGTTGAATTCCTAAGAGCCTTATCGAAGTTCAGAAATAGAAAAAAAATTCCTCCTTGCTTGTTTACGTCCTCCATCAAACATGAAATTAGGCATTTTCACGTCATGGCCGTGCAGTGGTGGCAATGAAATGTACAAAAAAAGCGTTATGCACGTGCAAAGTTGTTGTTTTGCCTTTTCAACCTGTCTCACTTTTGATTATCTCGTTGCCGTCGGTGTCGTGGGATCTTAAGGTCTCTATTCATGCTGCACCGCGGCGAATCTTAATTAATCTTAATTATTGCTAGAACTCTACTGCTTTATGGAGCCTCCGCGTTCTTAGAAAAATGTACTCACCTTTGCAATCTTATGCTTAGTTCTTCCTTTATGGTAATTTTTATCAAATTCGGTTATATTTTCTAAAGCAACAGTATAGAATGCAAGTAACAAAAATACATTTATAGAAAATGAAAGAAATAAAAAAATAATCAAAATAAAAAAGATAAGATATCATTCTATTTCAGTCAAGCATTATCCTCTGCGTCCACTTAACTTTAAAGAGTCTTGCATGTATTTATACGCATGGGCGAAGATGGACTTTCTACAATCAAAACTGTTTGTACATTTTAATTTATTTATTTGTTCAGTCGTTCGGTTACGATTTCTTAGTAGGGTAAATTAAGAAAAAATATGAACTATCTCGTTGAAATGTCGGATTTTACCGTTTAGTAGGCCCTTTGTTTGAAGCAAAAAGGTTAGAGTAATTAATTGTCTTGGACAAACAATATATTACCCACATGTATATTATTGTCAAGGTCCTTCGATCCGTGGCATTACCTGCCGTAACCGGCCTTTCCGTTTCCAATGAATATAAATGACAGGTCCTTTTCACAAAATTGTCAAAACATACATTCTCCTTAACATTCCTATAACATTATTACAGAGTAAGTAAGGAGAATTGCGACTTGATCGATGCAATACGCGACGGGGGAAGGTTTGTGTCGTTTGACGTGTAATCGTTGAAATATTCGTTACGTTTTAACCTTCGAGTCGTAGGGGTTTATGACTAGAATGCCGGTTCTTTTGTAACAATGGATCTTTGATTTATTCGAACAAACACAAATACTTCTTCTCATAAGTTCTTCTAGAGGAAGAAGCTTATTGAATCAAGAAGACATGGGTTGTTTTCGTAAATTTTCTCGACGAAAGTGCATAGATCTTGCGTCCTTGGCGGAAACAAAACTCGCCCGGTGTTTATCTCTTCTCGACTTAACCGCGTTGGGAGTTGGTTGTACCCTCGGTGCTGGTGTCTATGTGATCGCTTGTGAAATTGCGCGAGATGTGGCCGGACCATCTACAGTTATCTCCTTCTTAATCGCTGGAATAGCATCAGTCTTGTCCGGACTTTGTTATGCTGAATTCGGCGCCCGCGTACCCAAAGCTGGATCAGCGTACATCTACAGCTATGTGACTGTTGGCGAGTTGGTAGCATTTATTATTGGATGGAACCTTGTCATGGAGTACATGATAGGAGCAGCGGCTATTGGCCGAGCGTGGAGTGCGTATTTTGATTCCATGATACATGATAAAGTTAGACATTGGATAGTGGACAATGTTGGACCAATAAAAATCCAAGGACTTGGCAGCTACCCTGATTTTTTATCAGTGGGGATTATTTTGATCCTAATGACTATTCAGCTGTTCGGCGTTAAAAAATCGACCGTGTTTATATTCGGTGTGACATGCATAAACGTCGTTGTCATCGTCTTTATCATCGTCATGGGTGTCATTCTAGCCAGACCGGAGTATTGGTCAGACTTTATGCCTTACGGTCCATCGGGAGTTCTCGCGGGCTCGGCTACTGCATTTTTCGCTTTCGTTGGCTTCGATGTTATTGCAACAGCAGGCGAAGAAGCAAAGAACCCGAGTAGGACAATTCCTTTATCCATTTTATTGGCATTAACTGTTTGTTTCTTGGCGTATTTCGGTGTTTCTGCTGCGGTCACTTTAATTTGGCCATACAACAAGTTGGATTATGGGGCGGCCTTACCAAAAGCCTTTGAGCACCGTGGTGCTTACTTTGCTAAATACATTATCGCGGTGGGAGCACTTTGCGGAATGACAGCCGCTATCAATGGCGGACTTTTCCCACTACCACGTCTGCTTTACGCCATGGCCTCGGACGGACTTATTTTCAAAAGTTTCGCACGCGTCAGTAAGACCACCGAGGTGCCCGTTATTGGGACGCTTTTTTCAGGGATTCTCGCGGGATTTCTAGCAATGATCTTTGAACTGCAGGCCCTTGTAGAGATGATGTCAATAGGAACTCTCCAAGCGTACACTATCGTCTCCACTTCAGTGCTTATTCTTCGATATCAACCGGGAACAATCGGCTTCGTGAAAATCACCGAGGACGCCGCGAAAACGAAAACCGAACCCTCTAGTCCTGTTTGGGAGCCAACTGTGCGATCAGGGAACATTTCAAAATGCGTGATCTGGTTCTTGTTCTTTTATTTCTTTTGTTTTAGTGCATTTTTGATCAATGGGCTCATTCCAATGTACCAAGGCAAGGCATGGGCCATTATACTAGCAGTTATATTGATTCTTATTTTTATAGCCTCAATCGTTGTGTTGAGCATGTTGCCCAAGAGTTTAACGCCATTGCCTTTTAAGGTACCGCTTGTTCCTTTCCTTCCTCTTGCTTCGATGTTTATTAACATTTATCTCATGATGGAGCTTAATCCGGCCACGTGGCTTCGATTCGCGGTGTGGATGGCTATTGGTGAGATACTTATTACTGCAGCTGTTCGTAATGTTTATTTACCCTGGTATACTACCAGCTAGAATTGGCCAAATTTAAAACCAAATTTTTTTAAAAATTCAAATTTCGCCTTGTATACTATTGTAAGAGGACGAGAGAAAACTTGTATCACGGCAGTCCAGTTCATGTTGTTTAATTTTGCCAATTACTCTCCCTCAGTTGTTATGGAACTTGAAGTAAGCAAAGGAATTACATGTAAATGACAAAATCATAGATCCGAAACAAACAAATATGTCTCCTGAGCATTATTTTTGAAGTTTGCAAGCACCAGTGATCAACTTTGAAAACTGTTAGACTGAACAATTTTCAAAAATCCTGATTTCAATCCGTTTCAATCTTCTTCAGTTTTGCTCATCCCAGGCGTCTGTTGTTTCTGTTATGTTATTTTAACCTTCCTTTGAAGTTTTAAGCGGTTATTTTCATGTTTCTCTTAATTTAACGGGCATTTTTTAACTCCTACTTTGGCTGAATTTCGTGACACAGCTCCTTTAAACAGTGCTAAAGACAATCCCGTCCTCAGAGCTTTTCTTGTTGTGCCAAAGAATGGCCGCAATGTAGGATTGACATTCTGTCCACAGACCAAATAATTAAAAATTTATACAAAGCAATAAGACTATCCAAAGGAAGTAAAAAGTATCATGTTAAATCATTATTTAAGGGGTCTCATGTGAATGGTCACAGCATAGGATTTTGTCCAGAGAATTGAGAAGTAGAACTGCATACTAAGTGAATAGTAACATGTGGAAGTACTGCTGGAGAGACTTCAGTTGAACGGTAAAACCATAGGATTTTGTCTAGGGACTTGAAAAGTAGAACTACATACGAAATAAATAGTAGCATGTCAAACTGCTGCAGATTAGGAATTAGGTTTTATTTGAATAGTCACGTCATAGGATACCAGAATTAGAACTGCGTTACGATGTCTTCATCATTTTCTCCCGGAGTGAAAGCGATAAACTTCATGAGCCAGTAAATTATATACTTTGATAACCTGCAAAACCTGCATCCGTCACGGCTTGGCAGTGGAAATCGTACCCTTCTATCCTGTTACACTCATGACTAGAATGGCAATCAGTTCGTAGTTGTGTCAGAGATGAATTTATCATGCCAGTTTACTGCCTACAGTTTAAACAGCTTTTACATTCTCTAGGTAATTTCCATTTGAGACCGGTAAACGGCTTCGTCGTCTTTGCTAATTATTGGACGATCTGCATCATCCGTGCTGTAGTTATTCGACGATTAGAGCAAATCTTTCATGTGGTCAGGTCCCGCGCGTTACAAAAAATTAGGCGGGAAATTTAAGCCAATCACAAACGTAGAAATATTTTGATTGGATGTGAAAGATTACAACCTTGGTCTTGATAAATTCGAAGTTAACTTATTTTTTTCTTTTTGTTGTAGGTTTGGCAATTTATTTATTTTATGGTCTGAGGCATAGCGTGGAAGGAAAGCGCCAAAAAGAACAAGAAGGCTATGTACCTTTAGAACAAATGGACGCGAAAAGCGAGGAAAATAAAGCACCGGATGGTGAAGAATAACTCATCATTGCATATGAATTAGTAATTAAATATGAATATAAGAGATGATACCGTAAAATTCCGAAAATAAGCCCCGGGGCTAATATTTTTCAAAGGCCCTTTTTGAGGGGCTTATTTTGGAGGTGCTTGTATTCGGAGGGGCTTATCTATGGAGGGAAATTTGCTTTTGAAAATTGATTGGGCTAGCCTTATCGTTGGAAGTGCATTTACCGTTATTGCTTTATTTTAGTTTGTATTTAAGGGCAATTTCCAAGTACAAGCCCCCCCCCCCCCGGGGGGGGGGCTTATATTTGGAGGGGCGATTTAAGGGACGGTTTTTTGCGTTACGAGTTTGGGGGGCTTATATTTGGAGGGCTTATACATGGAGGGGCTTATTTTCGGAATTTTACGGTATATCGACAGTATAGATTAACATTAGTGTGGAAATATAATGTTTTAAACCGATATTTGACTTGTCTGAAAGGACATGGTCAAGAATTATTTCTACAATTTAACCCATTTCCTGGAAATTTGACTAATATAATCAATTACTTTGAATTTGAAATTACAAAGCAAAAAAAAAAGGACATGACTGTGACCCCGTACTAACCATCCTTAATGGCAAAGTTAATTTCAAGCTTGCCCTTCCTTCCGGGCATTTATGGGACATTCGTCTTTTTTCTTTGAAAAGCTGACGAAATGAACTCTTCTCTGATAAGCTTGTGCTTACGTACTTTGAGCCTTTGTATGGGTACCTAAGGACGTCGATTTTGTGGCGCGTTTTCCATCAAATCGTCGGTATTTCGGGCCAAATCGTCGCGTATTAAGAATTGTTTTGCGTGATAAAGTTACTAGCGAGCTCAGCCCAACCACAATCAAGATGGAAACGAAAAAATAAGCAAAACAAAAACTCTGAACGTGCAACACACTTCTTTTTGCAGATTTCTTTGCCATCTGCCAAACTTTATTATAATCGCTACACGATCTAAGATCTAAGATCGTTGCTTCATCAATGGCGATCTTCGAGACGTTATGTCGGAAATACCCATACAGAGGCTCTACTTTCCATATGCGTTTTCGCTTGAAATCGTTTACATTTCGATGTGTTAACGCCTTCCGTCCACACTAATACGCTGAGCATTTTCATCGAAAACGCATCGATTTGAAAACGGTCTTGAAAGTGGAACAAAACGAAAACGCATACATGTTGTATTAATGTGAATGGTTGAAAACGGTCGAAAACAAATCAAAATGAAAACGATGACCGAAAATATCGCAGACGCGTCTGTTTGTAACATGTGCATAGACTTCAACTTACGTCACAAAGTGCAATTCAATTGTTTTCGAACGTTTTATTGAGGAAAGTCGAAAACGCATCAAAACAGTAGTGAAGACGCGACTCGATGACAACGAAAACGCATACTTTTGAAAACGCATTTGTTTCGAAAGGGCCTTAGTTTACCGTCACTAAATTTTCATGATGTCAATTCTCCCTTGGTCATATTTATCGTTACGCCCCGTTACATTAGCCTTACTTTACTTCTCCGTCTACTTCCTTAATTTATGCTAGTTACTTTCTATGACTAGGTAGCCTAGGCTTGGTTTCTTCCGGGCTCCTATTCCAGCTTAACGTTGTAGTTATTAAATTCTGTAATTGATTTGGTTAAATAAAGAATTGAGCTGAACCGAACTGAAAAAACGAACGTTGTTACCTTACGTCCCACAATAATAGCTGTCCCGCAATTGATAGCCCCAGTTTGCAAGGTCTTTTTAAGAAGTGATCACTTTCTTCGAATAATCGCTTCGCACCCATCTACTTCTTGCAGTATTTGCAGACATGCGCCTGAGTCCTGCACAGCCGATCAGCTCAACCGGTCATCGATCAGCGCTCGGATTTTAGGTTCCACAATATTTTGTAACCTCCAGTTACACGTTCCTAGACGAGAAGCCTTTGGATTTAACTTAACGCTGAGACCCGTTTCTGGTAATTGTGGGATAGGAAAGCTGAGTTGTTTACCAGCGTTAAGTTTATTCCAGGATTAAATCAAATTTGAACCACAGTTTTCTGCAGGCTATATTATGACACTATCACTAAAGAGAAAAATATGGACTCGCTGCTGAAGTGGAGACCGATCTAGACTGACTGATAACTCGACCTCTTTGAAAATTAAGTCAAAGAAACCAAATCGAGAACGTTTATAAGCCTTTTTCAGTTGATTTGATGTAACGATTTCATGTTTAATTGGAAAATATAATTAAGGCTCCATGGATTCCGATTAGTCTCGCTCGCAGACGTTTTTGTCTCGTGACCAGACAAAAACGGTCGCGAGGGAGAATAGGGTTCAGTTGTGACGATCCAGAAAGTCAGGATAGCCCCAGTGTAAGGTAATCCATGACAGTCTTGGATTCTAGATTCACGCTGTAGATTGTGGATTCCTTGTCAGTGGAATTTGGATTCCGGATTCCAATCGTTAGCTCGCCTAAATTATCGCGAGAACAGCTCACCTTCGTCGATTATGGTCGTCCCCGTAGAACTGTCTACTTTTACAGTGAAAAAGAAAAAAAGATAAAGTCACTACCCGATATTGTCCGAGGAAATGCGGTAATAGGCCCTTTGAAACTCGAGTTCAGGTGACCTATATCGGACACAAGTTTTGTAAGCTATAGTTACCTTGAAATAAGCTTGTTGTTGGTTGTTGTTGTTGGTGGTGATAAAGTAGACTAGATTAGTTGTTTATTCACTGAATTAAACAGGGTAAAAATTCATCAGGAGCATAAAATTTGTTAATAACCTACCTACCCTAAAAAAAATGGGAAAACTAGCTACCACTAACCTAACTAAGACCTGTTTTTCATGAATGCCGCGTATACTTAAAAGTCAGAAATGCAGATGAGCCAATTGTTGAAATTGACTTAAAGATTTAGCCTCTCTCATATTACAGATGGGAAGGCTGTTCCAGAGAACTGTTCCGCTATAACTAAAGCTGTTTTTCACGAAGTTAGTTTGCGGCGAACGGGACAGTTGGTTTGTTAACAGAGTCCTTCAGGGAGTAGTGCCTCACCTGGTGAAAGTCCTTTAAATCTAGTTTACTTGGCTCGATTTCAAGTTTACAGTGGAGCCCCGTTAATACAGTCACCAATGTGCCAGAAAAAAATGGCCGTTTTAATGGGTGACCGTAATAACGAGGGGTTTTTTTACAAGAAAATTTATGGCCGTTTTTCCGGGCGGCCAAAAAAAGTGGCCCTAATAACGAAGTGACCGTATTACCGAGGTGACTGTAAGGCCGGGTTCCACTGTGTTTGCTTTGCAGTAGCTTTTCTTTTCGAAAAGAATACAGCATCAGGAGGCGAACACTTCATCGAGTTAGTTTCTGGATCTTCATTAATGGTACAAGGTGCTTTCATTCAGTTCGCTTCACAGGGAGCCCAGTCTTCCCATCATTCCTTTCGCGCTGGTTACTCTGAAATAAACTCAGCGGGAGCCTTTAATCAGTAGACAGAAAGGAGGAGGCCAAGTTAATTATTTTCAAATTTATTTTGTTTAAAAGTAAAAAATAACTTCATTGAATGTGCCCTGTCAATTTTAGCACAACAAAAGAGAAAGACTATTTAAGTCAAAAGACCTCACACTCTCCTTTTTGACCAACATCAGATATACTAATGGACTTTTAATTAGTCTTTTCACTGTAAAGTGACCATGATTAAGGCAAATACGCAAAGCGAAATGTCGTCCTGCAATGATTAGGAAACTTACAGAAATAACCAAAAAAAGAAATTGCTTAGAACAAGTAAGGTATTTTTGGACAGGTTTTACTTAACGGTAAAACTCAGATGTCCACCTACGCTATACGGAATAAGAAATATACGGCAGAACTACCGTTCCGCTAATAGCTTAAATCCTTTCGCTGCTTTACCAAATTCTTTTTAAACATTTTTTTTTTCTAAAAGACTGGAATAAGAGCAATAAAAATTCATTTGTGAGTTCATTTAAGTTTCAAGATATTGACTCAGTGATTTGGGAAAGGAAAAAGTGGTGTAAAGACTAATTAACTCTTTATTTACTTTTAATGCTCATCCAACAAAAGGCAGTGGAATCTAATGGAATATGAGTGCCATTAACTTATCCAATTAATTAGCTGTGAATTGTCAATCGTGGACATTTCGCGACCTAGTGTAATAGGAAAACACACAAGCTTCGTTTTATTTTGTGGAATTTGCATGTAATTTTCATAAAAGACTTTAATGGCATGTGACAACCATTATGAGGCCATCAGGCCTTTGTCGGTGCAAATGTTTTTTGCGGTAGTGACAAACCAAATGGAGGAGAGGGTTCTGAAGAACAAACTTGGCTCCATCGAGCAGGAGCAGAAGAGGCTGATGAAAAGATATCGTTCAGAAACGAGACTTCTCAAAATTAGGCAGGAACAGCGAATTGGAAATCTTTCGCTCAAGAGACAGGATACAAAAGGCGCTCACATCAAAGGGAGTCCAAGTCCTAAATCGTCTGAGGTTTGTAAATAAATAATGCTCTTTTTCTAAGCTTAGTAGGGGGCAAAAGTTATCTTCAGAAACACAAAAAATAATTCCACAGTAAAACGCAGTTTAAAGTGCCGCTATTGTTGAAGCGTTGCAATCATTAGCCATGAGCTATATATCTGAAAAGTAGTTTGAAGTTCTTTTACTTTGAGGTTTTTGCAATCTACTCTTTTCACGTGAATTTGTTTGGTTACTGTCTAATTAAAAGCCTAAAATATTGGAACAGAAATGAGACCAAGACAAGTAGATCGAGAAAAAGACCCAGCTAGCTGGCTGGAGTTAAAAATCGTGTAGTCAGTTCGTCAAGTGGTTTAATTACGAAGTAAGTTTTTTGTTTTTTTAATGGCTAAGTTTGCCGTTTACCTTTGCTGAAATGATTAAACGACCGTAAAATCTATAAAATGCTTGCTTGCGTGCTTTCATTTAACTTATATCAGCCCATGTTGATGAGCCCAGCTGCATATAATCACGATATATAGCGGGTTTAGTCTATTTAGTACTGAACTAAAGAATCGTCTCATCAGGTCTGTGTTTGGTAATGACGTCAGGGTTTTGTTTCCTGTCGTGGTACATACGTAGTATTCGTATCTACAGTATCCGGTCATCCTTGGGCAACTTGTCGAAACTTTTGGAATTTACAGGGTTGTCAAAATCATTTTTCCGAAAATTTTAGATGCAATTTGTTGCTTTACGACAGCAAAGTAAGAAATTTTCTGATTTCTCGATTCCATTACATTTCCGAATCCAAAACATTCGAGAATTCTTTCCTCACAATTAAAGTGAAAAATTCAGCTTCAGAAGTTCATAAAGCGCATTTATTAGAAAAGCTTTGTAAATCGTCCTCAAGCTTTAGAGAATTCTAGGCAATATTTGCGCTTTTGGGCACAGATATTTTTTTTAAAATAATGCTCACATATAGTCCTTTGGTTTAAAAGCATCGAGGCTTATGGCCCAAAGGTTCTAATTTAAGTTATTCTATCTGGCTTCAAATCGACAAAACTTTATTCTTTTGTTCGAACAAACGATAGTTCTCTGCAAAAGTAAATAAGCACTACAAAAAACCGCTTTTATGCCCAACTTAATGGTATAATTGATTGGCGCGCATAGATTTACGCGTCAGACTAATTAAAATTACCCTCATGGATGCTGCAATTTGGCTGCTAAAATGATCAACATTTTGACTTTATGATTCTCTTTCTTTTCTAATATGAATCATAAAGGACTCACGGGCAATAAACGTCATCAAAAAATTTGTATCTTTACAATATTGCCATGTTTACTTCGGCCGTGATATAAGAGTTAGAGAGTTAACGTCATACCTCGATAAAAGCTGTTCAAAATAGATACAACAGTGAATGAAAATGACCGACATCGATTTGTAAATCTAAAGATGTGACAAGTTTTATTACTTTGCTAACTGATAAAGCCCAGCCATTGTAAACTACTAATCATCATTGAATGTGTGCTGAGTATTATATGAAGAATTATGCAGATCGAAGCGGGCGTTAGTTTACAACCTCCTCAAATCTGTATAATTTTTCATATCATAAAAAAGACGAATTCAGTGATTGTTTTATTATTCATTCGAAGTATTTCTAAGTTCTCGGATAGAAGTTAACTCTTTCGCTATTTTCTTCAGTTCACTCATGCCAAAGCAGCAGGGCTACCTCGCTGCTGACTGGTAACGAGGTTGCGATTGTATATTGGGGCAATTATTAGGGCAATATACCATCGTAGTTCTACTCAGGAAAACATTGAGATTCTCGGGAAACAAAATTAACTGTTCCCCTCGTGTGTGCTTTTTTTCTATCTTAAAAGGTTGACATGTGTTTCTCCTATGAAAAACGGCAAAGTCCAAAGTGTTTTTGTGCCTCCAAGACATTCCAAGAGAGTGAAAATCCAGTATTTTTAACCCAGGCAGATTCACCACAGACAACCGAAAGGTATGGATATACATGAATAGTAAGTAAGTAATTAAGGGTTTGGCAAGCGCAGTTCAATTTGCAATTGCAATTTTAATAGTTTATTTAGTTTGCTTTTATAGAGCGCAGTTCAATTTACGGGATTTGCTGTTGAACTAGCTTGCTTGGCAGGCACCGGTTTGTTTATGTGGTTTGCTTTTATAGAGCGCGCGCATCCACGAAATTTCTTCGCCTTAAAAAGAAAGAGCCTGCTAAGCATCCTGCTACTGAACTATACTTTTACAAATTGTAACTGGCTGCTGTGAGTAGATATCGGGCGGTAGTGCATCATTATGAATATATTGTTGCATGGAGGTTTGTATGGAACTGTCCTCACCCAGCCAAAATAACGAGTGGTACCAGAAACTCATAAGGGGTTGAAACGTGTGACTCGAGTTTAATGCTCGTGACTATTCATTTTCCTAAGTACCGTATTTGGAAACCCTCGCTGGTCCTCAGTTCCCTCAAAGACAACAACTTTGCACGGTTTTTTGTACATATCTTTGCAGTCGCTGCACAACTACGACGTAAAATTTCCTAGTTTCACGCTTTGTGGAGGCTGAAAACACAAGGCAACGACCTTCTTTTCCTTTTCCTCGACTTCGATACAGTCTTAAGAATTTAACTCCAGGAAAAATTTTCTAACATTTTAACGAGATGGAATAAGCGCGATAAAGTTTGAAGCAGCGCTAATTCACAAATTGTGTAGTGTTAGTTTTAGGTGTTTTATCGATTGAAACGGTATAGGGATGGTAGTCTGGGTGAGTTGCGAGAACCGGAATTCGAATTATCGGGGTAAATTTCAGTGAAATTTTGATCAAAAGAAACGAAATTTAGTTCGAGTTAGTGGGAGTTCGAGTTATCCCAGTTCGAGTTCCGAGGTCCTTCTGTATTAAATAAACCTATTGCTTCTGATTATAAGGCAGCAATACAATTTATCTTAAGTTGCATTCTTCAGTAATGCTTTTACTTTGCTTAACATGTCTTGATTTCATCAATCACTGAAATCTGACGTTGATTTCCTTAACTTTCCAAAGTTGACCTTCTGTTTCCGAAAATGATATAAATTAATTATTCTAAAAAGCACCGAAGCATCCCGAAAGACTCCGAACTTGACTTTCGGTTCGTTCACTCAAGCGCGCGAACATTTCACATTTTACGTACACTCATCTTATTCGCCAGAAAACCGTTCGTTATACAAAATAGGAAACAGTATCAAAACATGCCGCGGTAAGAAAAGGGTCCCTGTGCACCTGTGGACCTTCTCGTACTTCACCGTAAACGGTTACTTGTGATTTTTTGAATGTTCTCAAATTGCATTTTTCGAACTGTCTGTACAGTTTCAAAATATCTTGGTTTACGTCGTTCTCCAAATTGTTTTTTTTCTTATAACATGTTCATTCTTTTGCCAAATGGTTTCCTTTCAGGCTTCCGAGACTGCCCTGTCAATCACCAACCAGCCAAAAGGAAGATTCCCTGTCACCACACAGAATATCCAGTGAAGTTTCGACTTGTTTTGTTACGGAGGAACAAGCAAGGCAAAACGGGGGCCCTCCAAGAAGGCGGGAAACATGGAATGGTAAAACAGTAACAAAACTATGTGCTTCTTTGTCTCTTCCTCCAAGGATACGCAGCTTTTCCGAACAAGACGCGAGGTCTTCCGAACAAGAAGCGAGGTTTTCCGGACAAGGCGCGAGGTTAAGTGATGATATGCAAACTCATCTTGTCCACCAAAAAGGCGCCTGTACTTCTGAAAATGATTCAACAACAACGGGAATGCAGCAAAATGGAATTTGTAAGATGGCCTTCCCAACAGCTGAAGATGTGCAACGTGGAAATTTTCTATCTGTGCCAAAACTTCCCGTCCGTAGAGCATGCTCTTTGAATTCTTTAAAATCAGTGGAGAGCCTCCCACCAGTTTTCAGGAACCAGGATGGCCTGATGGTGACTAAAAGCAGCGAGACAGACTGGACTGAAGAAGAGGTTGCACCTTGTCCTTTGCCTATTTGCAGCAAAAAAACAAACAAACTTTGTCAGAGTCCTGACGGCGCTGCAACTAATAAGGACTTCCTACAGCGCCGACATCGTCCCCTGAGAAGGCAAGAAAATCTTCTTGAAGATACTGCAAGTGTTGATACTATTAGCATCCTTTGTAAAAGTCCCATCAAGTCGCCGAGGGCATGTAGTAGAAGTGGAACAGATGCGGCAAGAAAAATGTCTCTTAGACGCCAGTCATCTCGTATCCAGAATGGCTACGAGGAAGAAGGCCAAGAGACAGCACTCGTGAAAGACGCCTCCCTAAAAAAAGGACAAATCACTGCGAGATCAAGTTCTCTGTCTTCTTTTTGTGCTCAAGAGGACAAACCAAGAATGAAAGTAACAAAGAAAGGGAAGCAAGAAAGCCTTGAAGCTCGGAAAGAGGACCTCCCCGAGCCATTGGACAAGTCAAAGTGGCTGACAGCCCTGAAAAAGGTTTTTAACGTAAACATGTTTTTAGGTGGAATGGTGGCTCTTCAGAAGCAAAAGGAAAGGGATCGTTTGGCTGTGGAACAAAAACAGGCTGAGCTGGAGAAGCTTTACGAAGAATTGAAGCATTGCAGATACCTACGATTGCCTAGTGGTGAAGATGACGTTAAACAGAAAGATACGGTAGCTTGGGTGTTTAGCAAAGAATAACAACCTGACTTCAGAAAAAATGTTAACCGGGGCTCAAATTACTGATTTTCGTATGAATTCTGAAAGCATTTGACCCTTTTAGCAGCGTATTTTCTAACGAACGCTTTCAAACTTCTGAACGATGGCTTAGTGCCTTCACATTAAACTAGAAGTTTTTTTCTCTAACAGCCTACGTTTAGTTTTTCGGTTTTTTTTTTTCAATACAGTATAGCGTTCAGACATGATTTAATTATTCCTGGTTACCGTAAATAGCGATTTGGCCCGTACTAAAAAAATCACCAAATAGAAACTATATGGGGTGACAAAATGAACGATTACGCAGACCGCATTGACTATTTACATCCTCTAGCTGACAATCACATGATGAACAAGCATCTTTTTGATCTGTAGGTGTGAACAACATTCTTAAAAAAATATAAATACAAGCCAGTCAGCCGAAATTTCAAAGCCAAGAAAATCAGCTTACGTGATGTACAACTGAAAGCAGTGATGGTTATACCAACAGAATTAGTCCTAATCTTTTTAAATGTAAATAAGCACACGATAAAAGAACATTTCTTGTTAATTAAAGCCTTTATTAAAAGTAGGCGTCAAGGCCTTTGTTTTTTAATGTGTGCTCTTTTGGCATTTGTTAGCCATGTATTACTCGACTATATGATTTATGAGTTATGGCCGTAAGCCAATCACCATGCAGTACTGAATAGCTAAGCAATGTTAATAAGAACGATAACATTTGCTGTACTTTACACTGTTAAGCCAATATCTGATCTTCACCCTTTGAAATAGAGTTCAATACTCGAGTAACTTTTGCTTTGTGAATACTTGCTGACGTCTTCTAAAATATAATGGATGTCAAAACGGCAAGGGAAGTGGCGACGTCTAATTCATTGGAAAGAGAGGACCAGGGAATTCTGAAAACATCTGACAGCAAAGCTTCACAGTTGAAACAGAAGGAACTTAACTCGGATGTACATCAGAGGAGACAAAGAGCCCCGCGAAGCCAAGGAAGATTTCAGTCTAAGGTCAGTAAACTGAACTCAAGCAGAGTTTCTTAATTTGCTTCAATATCAATGCAATTAGTTGTTGCATGATCGGTTGTTTATTTAGAAGTCATTAGCTGTATGGTAAGGTCCAACATCATAAAACATTAAGGCGAATTGGCCAATTCAAATGGCTATTATTATATAGTTTTTCGACCAGTTGTTGCCGCTTCATTTCAAAACATAGATGAAAGTATGAAACTTTGTTCAGTGTCAAAACACGATCGTCTTTCCTTCTTAGCCGGCCATGACCATTTTCGGTTCTAGCTGTTGTTCTTCCTACTGGAGCTGTTTTTGGGGGACTGTTGCGTTTTTCTAATAGTATTTGTAAATGAAGTTTTAACTGAAACAAAAATTAAGCATTTGCTTTTTAAGTCTTGAAAAAGTAAGTTAGATAAAGTTTTCCACAACCGCCTACTTTACAATTTTGGCCTATTAGTAAAACAAAAGAAATACCTTTAAAAAACTCAATTCAGCCTCAAAAAGAGACTTCCGATAGAGATATCAGTACAAGCTATGTATTTTTGTGAACACTTCAGACAAGACGCCCATCAACAATTCAGAGGTTCTAAAAACGGGCTTCTGCGTTGAAACGTTTTTCAGTATGAAATGTTCACCTAAGTCGCTCGCGATGTTATATGTAAGGATTGGTTGAAAAGTGATGTGAGGGAATTGAAAAAAGTACTCAAATTCAGTAGATGCCAGTGCGTGAAAAGGGTCACTGAAACGGTGTTAGCAACCCAGAAAACGTTGGACATTCTTTGACGATGAGTCACTTTGGCATGGAGGTCGACTTAAACAACGCATCAAAAGCTTGTTCAAACAGTAACGATTAGAAATCATGTAGTACTGGATAAAATCTTTCATAATTTGTCAGGGAGATAAAGCTTGAATTTAAATTTTGATGTGCGGGCGCTTTGCGTATATTAGTGCTAGCTAATCGTACTCTTTTGTTGTTTAAACAGTCTTTACTTAATATAAAGGTGGTTCAAAACTTTTGACAAATTCGAGGATTAGCGATGAGCCTACCTGGCGCCTATTTTAAATGAGGGATTATTTAATGTTTCTTTCTTTTAATCATTACAAACAGTAATTAATTTTCTGTCAAAGAATGATGTGAGTATTTTGATTTCACCAGCAAATAAACTTGTGGACTGACTGTAGCGTCAACCATTTGAGAAATTTATGACCAAAAATTACATAAGGAGTGACCCAATCACAGTTTTGTTAATTTCGAGGTCAATAAGTGCCGCAGCAAAAGGCTCATACTTGCGGGTAATTCACGAATAAGAAGCTTCTAAGACTTTTGACATTCCAGCTAGTAGCAAAAAGTTACTATCATACGTCCAAAAGTGACTCAGAAACTTGGAGATGAGCTTTAAGTAAAAAATATATCGTAAAAGTTCACAAAGTTTATAAAACGGTCGCCGGGGAAGAGGGGAAGAAAGAAGTCATTAAAGAGCAAATTGTAAGCCACTAACTCACCGTTATAATCAGCCAAACGCGGAGATTGCATATTTATATAACTAATGTACCAACATTTTTCTCTAAATTTGCTTTCTTTTAGAAGAAAGGTACCCTTAACTCGCCTAAGCAACAGAAAAGCACAGCAGCAAATGCAATGCAGTTGACACCAGATTTCCATTCAAAGACTGCTGCAACTGCTGAGCAGAAGGAAAGTCAGGAAGAAGAAAGGTAAGTTTGCATTCTATTCATATGTTTCAAGGACCCTGGACTTGTAAATGGTAACTTAAGCTTCGGCTTCTTGCCGGCGGGTAGAGTTATATGTCCATGCATATTCCTTTCTTTGTTTTCTGTTACTTCTCTCTTTTTAGCAATGCAACTTTTTATCTGATCTGTGTTCCAATATTTTTCTTCTATTACCCATTTTGTCTCAAAATGAACGATATCTGGTGCAAGAATCCAACTGACTTAAAAATATAGACTTCAGAGTCAACAATTTTATCAACTTGTAACGAATAATGTACACATGAATAGCTTGTGTATTGCCTCCGACGACAGGAGAACGCATACCTAAACTCAACCCGCGAGAGGTTGTGTTTGGGTCATGTACCGGAAACGGAACTACGTCATAGACCTTAGGGCTCTCGTTCCCAGAGCAAGTCGTTTGTTTTCGCTTGCGAATACAGCCGTCTCTCATAACAGCAAGATACCTCCTGAATTCACAGGCTACCCTTTTTTAAGACCAAGATTGTTTTAGAGATAAAACATAGTTGTTTAGAAATGCTACGGGGGAAAACGCCGAAGTCTGGTCCCTCCGGCCTACTTCATTAATTAACACTAAGAACGTTCTAAAAATTTTACTCGGGTGATATTTATTAACATATAGCTTCAAAAGCATTGAAGATCCTGCGCGGATATCTCGGCCTTGATAAAAAATGTCGCTTTGTCAAACATTTCCCCAATTAAGATCGTCCCCATGGTTCACTGAATGATACAAACCTCTTCACTTGGTGATATAGTCTGCAACTACAATTCCAAAGGTAAACATTCGGACGCACTTCTCACTTTATCCCAGATCACCTGCTAGTTATTAGTGGTGTAATCTTGGAGGTGTGTGTGATTGCTCGTTTTGGATTGATCTCCTTATCTATCAAACATCAGAGTTGTTTCTTTTTTCCAAATTAAAAGAGCTTTAGATTCTAAGACGTGGACGACCACGAGTACGAGATTTCCTCAATACTAGCTAATACTAAGTAGTGCTAGCGCGTGAACCAGCGTCATTTTGGCGGCAAAACGTGGTAGCCGGCGTCATTCTACTACGAGTTTTAGCGAGAATGTCGTACTGGCGGAAACGAGTTATCAAATGTTACAAGTTTTATCACTTTGCGATCGGGAGAGGGCTAACTTTTCTGGTGCTAACTTTTCTGGTGAATCAAAAGTACAATGAAACTTTCCGGGGTGTCTATTTTTGAGAATATGCAAAAAAAACTTTATGTCAAATCTCGTACTCGTAGGCGTTCTCGTCCTCGAATCTAAAGGTCTCTATACTTTATAGACTTAATTGTTATGTTATAGTTAATCATAATTTTTAACAATTATTCCTCTCGCCTTCATGGGCTCTGAGCCAATAGCCCATGAGGGCGAAAGGAATAATTGTTTTACTAAAATCCAAAAATATAGAGAATAAAAAAATTTTAGCTAGTTAAAGCTAGACTTTAATCCTTTTTTGCCGCCAAAAATCCCGCGCTTTTCGCTAATAGTAGGCTATAACATATAGCCTAGTAGTAGCTCAACCAATCAGAACGCAGCATTGATAATAGACCACTAGTTTGATTCTACTGAATTCATTTATTCACGACCTTCAAAATACTAAGCTGTAATATTTAGTTTTTTCTTATTATACTTTATTTAAAAGCTACAGTGTATACTACCATGGTGACCGACCTGACATTCAGGCAGCGAATCGTGAAGCTAATTGTAGGTTTCTGTTTTTAGCCGCAGCCAAGACAGCCCGAACGACAGAAAAGTGGAAGAAGAATATCAAGATATCTCCGGATCATTGTCAGTACCTACTGTCTCAGTGTCAAGTGAGATGTTGGAATTGGCCCACGACAATCGACCGGTTGACGATTCCATTCCCAAAGAAGATGTACAGCACCTGTGTGATCCGACTACTGGCGTGGAAAAAACTGAAAAAAATGCTTCTGGTGAGATAGAAAATCGAACGCATTTTGGTGCTAGATCCACTTCACCTCCCAAACTGCATTTCAATCGCATGAACGCTGTGAAAAGAACTGTGACGAATACTGCAGAAAATTCAATAACTGGGAAATCTAAGGAAATAAAAGAAGGTGGTAAATCATCAAGAGATTTTGTCTCAAGCAATCTTAAAATGCATAATGGAAGCCCTCGCCTTCAACGTGAACAAGGAAGATCAGATAGTGGGAACAAAATGAAGTCTACCAGGCCATTCTATCCAGTGCCAAAGAAAGAGTCTGTCTTAGATAATCAAGCAGGAGAAGGACGACAAGCCATTCAGGCAGAAGGCTGGAAGGATCAAGTTCCTGAACAAGAACATATGTACGATAAAACTTCAAGAACTCATTTATCTCCAAGAATGCAGCATAAAAGCCGCAGCCCAGTTCTTCAGCATTCCGCATGCCAGCGTGGTCACATCGAGAAGAGCATTGTCACACCTCGGCTAAGCCCAAGATTACAGAGACATTACTGTATACAGATAGAAGAAGAGGGTTTTCGAGCTCACAACCAGGCAGCTATTGAATCAAAGCAAAACGGATTTGTTAAGATAACAAAGGAAGGTTTTGGCGTTGAAAAACGACCAAGATCTCCTTCATCACCTAACTTGCGAGTGAATAACAGGCCTGGTTTACGTGGAAGGAGTTGGTCGCTCACAAACCAAATGCAACAAATTACTGGCGAAGTTGAGATCAACAGTTTGAGCACAAGTCCCAGACGTACACCTTTGAGGAAAAAAAAGGATCTTTCAAAGCCTGAAAGCTTGAACACTCAAGCTTGGGAGACAGAATGTTTTTCAAAAGAAAAAGAGAGGGTTTGTCTTAGCAATACCAAAGAAATCAGTGGGGCTACCTCTCCCAGTCCACAATTGAAACACAGAGGGAAAAGCATGCCTTTCTTAGATTGTAAAGTCAGCCAAATTGCCATGAATTCTAGAGATCGAATAACAAAGAAAGACCAAGGAAACAATGGCCAAGCAGGAGCTATCAGTAAAGGACCTAAAATGCTGCAGAGAAGAGGTTGGGAGGTTCCAAATTCCTTGCCTCAATCCGAAAAGTTAGAGATGCCAGTTGAAGCTGCGGATCAACACAAATGCCCAAATGTCACAATAGCAGTTGTTGAAAGCGATGGTGACAATGAAAAAGTTGGTTTTTCGGACATCGAAGCTCATCTTTCACTTCCTGTGAATCAACCAAACAATCATTTGACGGTTATTAGCGCCAGGCCACTGCATCGACGATCCACTGGAGATATACACGAAGCATGTCTCAGAGATGAGTTACCAGTAAACTACTTAAATGGCTATGAAATGAGATCTTCTCCCGAAATGCGAAGATTAAGCGTCAACAACAGAGCTTCTTCAATGTCAGAGCTTCACGAATCATCTAAAGAGAAAAAGACTTTTTCAAGCATAACTGCTTTCAATCTAACGACACAAAATCCTGCAGGTCATAAGACTGCGGTGAAATTTCGAGAAATTACGGAACCGGTAAGAAAATCGAAATGGTTTCATGCGCTGACAAACGTGGTTAACTTAAACTATTTTCAGGCTGCCATGATGGAAATCCAGAAGCAGAAAGAGCGAGATAAAGCTTCAGAACAAAATCGACCATCTATGGAAAAAACATTCGAGGAGATTAAGAACTGCAGGTATTTGAGAGTACCGGAACACTATCAGTAAGGAATCCCATTTGTGTGAATGATGGCACTTTTATGTACTGGTTCATGTACTATACTATCAGACAGGGAGTAGCCTACGGAAACAGTCCTTTTTCCTAACTTTTCTCCGCTAGGGACGTATCAGCGAGAGTACGTAATAGCGGTAGTTTATTTTAGTCGAACGCCTGTGATTTGTTTCTCCTATAATAACGTAAGCTTGCAGACATATTTTGTGTTTTCTAATTACTACTGAAGCGACTAAATTACTAACGCTTGACTGGGTGTTTAAAAAATTGCTACCTCGTTCATTAAATTTGATCTCTACGTGCAAAAACAAAAATATACAATACATCCTTGTAGCTTTACCAGACGTCGACTTACTATCTGAGAGAGTCAACAGGCTCAGCACTTCAGTAGCTACCTACGATTTCTCAAATTGTCTATAGAAGGTTGCATCTAGAAAGTATACTGATGATATTAATATTACTTTGGCTGCGTCGGACATAAATGTCCTTGAAAGGGAGATGAACAACGAATTAAGAAACTTAAACATTTGGCTCATGGCAAATAAGTTAAGTCGAAATATTGCCAAAACTGAATTCATGTTAATTAGCACTCGGTAAAGATTAGGGCTGCAAAGCAGTAACCGAATCCAAATCCAAATTAAAGGGGAAAATATCAGCCAAGTTGAGAAAGCTTACTCATTGCTATTCTTATTGATGACAAATAAACCTGGGAAATTTTCTAAAAGGGTATCTTCTGATATTGCGCCCTAAGAAGACTTAGGCCATTCGTATCATTGGATACGGCTAAAAAGATTTATGATTCTCTCATCCAGCCACTTGATTATTGTTGCTAAGTCTGGGATGGCATAAATAATCAATTAAATGATAAACTTCAAAAGCTGCGCATCGTGCTGCCCCGGTCATAACAAAATCGAGTAATGAAGTACGTTCCTATCCACTTCTAGACGCATTTGGGTGGGAAAAATTGATCTCCAACCGAAAAAAGCACAAGGCCATCATATAACCTTGCTTCAGTGTATCTCCGCTGAATATTTTGCAGATTCAGCGCTAATTATGATTTAAGAAACTCAGTTAACAAACTTGCATTGTCTAAGCTTAGCGCGGAGTACCTGAAGCGCAGTTTTTCCTATAGCAGTGCCGCCTTGTGGAATTCTCTGCCTCAGGATCGTAGGAAATGTAACTCTCTGGAGGTTTTTAAAAAGAAGCTTAAAACCTACTATTTATAATAATTCTTCTTTAGCTTCCCACAGTACAATCATGTAAATCAGTTTGATCTAGTTGTTTACATTTATTTACTATATATTTTTTCAACTGATGATTTATAGTCTATAAGTAAGGAAGTAAATAAAACTGATCCCTAATGATTACATTACAGAGCAGAACAATTATAAGAACAACAACAACAACAACAAAAACCTTCTTTATTTACCCAATAGAGATTAAGCTGATTCTCTCTTGATTTACCCTTATATTACTAAACAGATTACAATTTTAACTTGGCCAAAAATCTTAGGGTACCAACAACGCTAAAAACCATAAGTTTAAAAATGCTCTCTAATTGATTGGGCTAATTATGGTCAGGCACAAACACAAAACACAGAAACAAAACAACAATATTATTAGTCATTTAATAACAATTATTCACCGAAGTGGAGGTGTCTAGTGGTGGAGGTAAATATCTACCACTAGCCACCGATACTGAGGTGAATAATTGTTTTAGTATATGCTAAAACAGTGAGATAATTGAGCACAAAAAAGATGTTTTTTAACCCATTTACTGTTACCAACGATTACAATTTTGGTGCGCAATGACCGAACGGCCGCGGTCGTCGCTTTTTCTTGCCGCAAAATAAGACCTTTGAAGGCAGTTGTTTAGCTCTTGCGGGAGAATTTCTTCAAAAGCAGTTGTGAATTCTTTTTGTATTTAAAATCATTCTCTAAAAAAGATTATTAAATTTAGTTTTAAGCTTATTTATGAACAAGTCAACTAAACAAAGTAACGCTAGACAAGCTTAATTTGCATTTGTAAACAAAAAACTTTTTCACCGGTTTTATCCATAAATTCAAGTCAAAAAGACAAAGCTTTACCTGTTAAAACTTCCAAACCAACCTTCGTCACCTTTCTCGTGTATTTCGCGAACAGCGTGCTTGATTAGTTGTGAAATTTCTTTGTTTGTTAAGGCAGCGAACCGGGAAGCCATTTTGCTTGCAACTTACGCGAATTTGGCGTCGCTCGCTCGGAGGAACTGGAGGTGAATCAGTGAATAGTGCAGGATATTCACTGATTGAGTAGCCAATCAGAGCGAGCGAAAAGCACTATCCACTGTTTTAGTATATACTACCATAAAGGAAAGCCAAAACAACTATTTTGGCAGACACCGCACCACGACCATTCAGTTGAAAACTGTCAACTCTTTCCCTTGAAATTGCTCATTTTTCTATGATTTGTAATTATGATTTCATTGCTTTTGATTTGGGCGACATTTGAGACCGTCAACGCCCTTCTACACTACTTTTAGGTAGCTCATAATTTTGTTTCGCTGCGAGATCCGTCACACAAGACGAAAACGTCGCACAAGGTGACAGCCCCCTAAAGTGAATGAACTATCGCAACGTTGCTGTCCTATGTCTCGATTGCTGCAAGGAAAACGTTTCGAATCGGGGAGGGGGTGGGTTACACTAGCCAAACGCCACAACTTGTGCCCCCTAAAAAATTGCGACACAAGTGGGAAGAAAACAAGCCGAGTGTAATGGGCCTCCAGTAGAAAAATTGTCGGTTGTTCATAAGCTGTCCCATTTGAAGGGACTTGGCGCTAAGTATTCTGTATCGTCCCTGTGAGCTGGAATTGTTTCCATTTCATACTCAATGTCTACGTAATCCGGCTCATCAGCGAGAAGAACCTGTCTGTCAAACATCCTCTGCCCCAGATGTGATCTTCTTTGCCTTTCACCGCTATTCCAGATGCTGTAACCAAAGTAAAGTAACATTCCTAATAAAACAGGAAAAGGTTAAGATTAAACCCTTCAGGCGCCGGGAGGTATTACAGAGATTTAGAATCACGGTCACAGAAAACGGCAAATGTCAGATTCAAAATGACAATTCTCCATAAAAAGGAAGTAAACGTATAAAAACTGTGCGAACTATTGTTATGGATGAAATTGGCGTGAAACAACTCACTTTTAAACAGTGAACAAAAAGTAAAGAAAAAACTTAGTCACGTGGTACAAACTGACGTTTGCCTTTGAGGTAAACTTGATCGTTTGTGATAATTTAACCTGAAAGCAAGGACAAACAGTTCTGTGCGGGTAAGGAAAACCCGCTTTCCTCTTATTGAGATGATGTGGATAGTTACTATCCAGGCCAGTTTTAGAAGGATTTATGTGGAGTCGTCAGAACTCAAAGTTGCTTATATCTCCTCACTCAATTACAACACTAACAGGTTGAATTTTGGCAAGGGGTCTTTTTTCATCTTGTTCTTTCTGAATATGCTTACCAATCCCATAATTTCACAAATTTGAATTTTTGTGACGTCACACTTCTCTTATCTGTCGTGTTAATTTACACTGAAAGCACGGTAACAAAGTTCAGTGCTGATAAGAGAAACCCACATTTTTCCATATTGGGCTAAGGGGATAGGGGGATTATTGAAGTTGCATTTTATCAATATTTTAATCAGTTGGATCATCGACCGTAATTGGTACATTTAATCACCGGTGAGGCCAAAACGTGCACATGTTTCCGTTCCAAAAGTTGCACACTTTTTCCGCAGGTCACGGGTGAACGAAAGGCAGATCTATGCAAGTTTTAAGGGTTGATTTCCAGTGTCGTGTAATTTTTACGTACATACGAGCGTAAAATTTATGTTCGCAAATAAAATAGAGGCAATGCATGAAGGGTCGCTCGTAAGCGTAACAGTTGAACCTCGCTCAACTTCTCGTTTAAGCTCGGTTCCTGAAAGGCCGATTAGCGCTAATCCAGGATTAAGATTTTGTTCCACTTTTTTGTATTTACTTTCCTATACATTGCTTAGAGAAAAATTAAATTTTGTGTAAATCATTACTGTGTCTCAGAGTAAAGGTTCAACAGTATTTTGTACGCTTGAGTAACATGCTCTTGGCAAGAAAACCGCGCTTAAAATTTCGCTTAATCCTGCGTTAAACTTAACCATCTTTCTAGGAACTGGGCCCAACACTTTTTATCTTGCCTCTAATTTATTTACGTGATTAAAATTTACGTGCGTTAACGTAAGTTGCCAAAAACGCTTTAGTGGAAATCAACCTTAAACGGGGTTTGAATACAAACCTAAGCCCATCCAAACTCCAAAGCGAATCCAGGTCAGTCTGGATAACTTGAGCATGAGAAATACATTGAAAAAGATGGCGAGAATTGGTAGTGCCGGGACTAATGGCGCCTTGAAGGATATTTCCTTGGTGTTCTGAGGCTGTAAACAAATCACCACAATAGCAAATATACTGAGGACTCCAAAAAGTACGAGAAAAAGTATAATTACAAAGCTGCGTCTCTGTAATGCTTCTAAACCATAAACAGTAGCACTGCAAAATCCAATAAATGAGATGAATAACAAGGCCACCGCCCAGTTCACTAATCTCACACTTTCCGCCGTAGGACCTCCAGTAAGTTTATGGCTCCGATCATGCCTTGATGTGTCCTTGTTTGCTGTTGTAAACTCCTCCCAGGATAATTCATTGTCTTGATTTTCATCGAAATTGGGGGAATCTAGAAAGTGTAGATGGCCATTTGGAGACATCTGATATTCAAATTCCTCTGCCGCATGTTCGTATAAGGAAAGTTGTTCATAAACTTTCGGATCTTTGTCTGGAAGGTTTAAGAGGTCCATGGAATGGGCGTCTGAAATATCCGGCTGATAACGGAGGATCAAAACACACAGGGACACTAATGTGTACGCCAGTAACGTGCCTATAGACATCATCTCAACCAATTCATTTAAATCAAATAACAAAGCGATAACGGCCGTTAAAATTCCTGGGTACACTGTGGCAACAACAGGTACCTCGGTTCTAGGGTTCACACTAGCAAAGCATTTGAAGAGCAAGCCGTCCGAAGCCATGGCATAAATGATCCTTGGCAGAGGAAACTGAGATCCCAGAAGGCTTGAAGATAAACCACAAACAGCACCTACACCGATAATGTACTTTGCCAAAGGAAATCCTCTCTGAACAAAGGCGTTTGGTATGGGCGATAGTTTGTCCAGCTGATCAAAAGGGACAAGGAGTGTTACTACAGTGGATACTCCAAAATAACATAGGAATATAACAACCAGTGAAGCAACGATTGCTGTTGGAATAGACTTTGGAGCATTTTTAGTTTCTTCTCCTGTCGTAGCGATAATATCAAAGCCAACATAAGCGTAAAAGCACGTCGCCGCTCCACTTAGTACTCCAGAAAATCCGTACGGGAAAAATCCTTTCCCTTCCGTCCAGTTCCGGGTGTCCACGAAAAACATTCCCGCTATCACGATGAAAACCACGACTAAGAAGTTTAAAACATTAAAAATTGTACTAAAAGTTGAAGATTGCTTGACACCAACTGCAAGTACAGTTGTAACGATGATAGTTACAACGAAAGAAAGTATATCTGGGTATGTACCAAGACCAGGAATTTGCATCTCACCAACGTACGTTAGCGTTAAATTTCGAATGGCGTTTCCAATAACATAATCGAAGCAAGCGCTTAACGCCCGAGCATCCGCCGCTGTACCGATCATGTATTCTAGAATTAAGTTCCATCCGATGATGAAAGCCCATATTTCCCCGACCGTGACATAACTGTAAGCGTAAGCGGATCCAGTTGTCCTAGGAACACGTGCGCCAAATTCAGCGTAACATAAACCTGACAGTATGGATGTTATTGCTGCTAAGGCGAATGAAATGATTACAGCAGGTCCGGCGATACTAGCGGCAACCTGTCCCGAAACAACATAAATGCCCGCTCCTAAGGTAGCGCCAATCCCGAGGGATGTCAAATCCCAAGTGGTTAGACATTTCGACAATTCCGTGTTCGTTTTTTCCTCCTGCTTAAGCCTTTTCCTCCTGGTTAAGCTTCTCACCAAGGTGGCCATCCACGAAACCTATCGACTACGAAATCTATCGTCTCACGGTCGATTGATTTAACCGCGCGCTTCAACTGATGTCGCAATCCTCTGTTGTGTTTTCCGATTCGACGTTATAGGTTTCTTCTGTGTAAGCTGCCCTCAAAGACACGTTGACCCCGAAAAGACTGAATATGTCTCGGCAATTGTTCCTTTTTATAATTTAAATAGAATGCAGGGACTTAAAGATATAACCATCTCATCGAAGTTGATACATAGCCTTGAAATTTTTTCTTCGATAGGTGTCTCACGCATGAGCAGTTAAGCTCTACACCTGTTGACAATTTAACGAGCTACGCCTTTGGTTCCTATACAATGTTTTTTATATTGTTAACCACAGCGTCCCATTTAGTATCCCATTACTGTCTTGTAGGCGACACTATTTGTTTTATCCGTTTGTTTTTCTGATGAACTGTTTCATGAGACATTACTATCTGAACAAATTTTCCCGGACAACATTTAAGAATTGTGTTTCACGCAATTTCTGGTACCCAGAGAAGCTGCGGGTCTTTTATTGTCAAAGCCATATAACACATTTCACTTTATTGTTTATGGCCAATCTTATTAATTCACATAGCTTAACTAGAAGCTAACAGTAAGGAGTCTATAGATGCCCGCAAAGAACAAAAGAAACATTGTAATATTTAGTTTTTCCTAACGTGAAAGTCATTGCCATTAGAACTATCATCTTGAATGCTTGGTTACTGAACAAACTATTTGACACTTTCTCATGCATCACAGCTTTGTCAACTTAACATTATTTTAAAATGGCTGTATTTACACTTTTTCGACCAATCGGCGAAGTTAAAAATATCAATCTAAATTTTGAAAAGAATTTGTAGTTATATCAAGGCGTTTTGAAAATAATTTTTATAGCGCAACCCGCTATCCGATTCCGTTCTATATATAATCACTGGGATGATAATTACATGCTATTGAGAGAGCATAGGGGCCAAATTTTCCCGTTGTTAAGTTATTAATAAGCTTAGTATTTTCACTTATATGTGGTCTCTGAGATACAACTTTTCTTTGTTAACTGTCTTTTAAGGTGGCCTGAACCTATCTATATGCGTGTTGGTTATGTTTTTTATTTGCGTTTTTCAGAATGAAAGATACAACCGATTTCTATGATTTTTGGCATACAAAATAAATAATAATGGAACTTGAAGAAAATGTTATCTCTTTTCTTGTACAAAAACCTTTGAGATATCGGCATATATCTAAAACCGCATTTTTACGAAAAATGTAAATAAATTCGAAATCCCGCGATAGATTTTCCCCTAACTTCAGGAAATAAGCCTCAGAGCTCTCTAGTTTTACATCTGCAACACTGAAGGCAATCGTGACCGTAGAACTGGCTGCACAAAATGCTGGTCAAATTTAACATTAAAATGCTACGCTAATACATTTGTGAAAGTTGACGCACGAATAGAGGTAGAGTGCCCACAGACTATCTCCTATCTGAAAGGATATTCGTACCTAAAGCTCTATTGCAAGAAACAGAGTAATCAGAAACCTACGGCGAACATAGTTAGCACTACAAGAAGAGCAACTTTATGCTGAGTGCGCGGTAATACTAAAGAACTTCTATTCATCAAACTTGCGTTGTATTTGTCCCTCTTTTTTGGAAACAAATTTTAACAAAGCAAAATATAGCTTCTACGAAAAACTGTCAAGAGTTTTTAGCGTCGCAGGTTCCCGTTTTGAAGAGAAATGAGGCCACCAACGCCTGTACTTCTAACCATCCATTTTTCAGCTGCAATGAGAAATCCTTGTATTTGGTAATTTATTCAAGCTTTTTAGACTTGCCATCACATTCGCACGGGAAGTTTACCACTTTGGAATAAAGATGAAGACAAATATGACAATCGTCTTATTCTTCTCATTATCGCCAACAGCAAACTGCCCGTACGAATGTGATGGTAAGTCTTAAAAGCATAAATAAATTACCAAATACGAGGGTTTTCATTGCAGCTGAAAAATGGATGCTTAAAAGTACTGGAGTTGGTGGCCTTATTTCTCTTCAAAACGGGAACCTGTGACGCTAAAAACTATTGACAGTTTTTCGTAGAAGCTATATTTTTCTTTGTTAAGATTTGTTTCCAAAAGAGAGGGACAAATATAAAGTAAGTTTGATGAGTGGAAGTTCTTTAATATCACCGCGCACTCAGCTGAAAATTGTTCCTCTTAAAGTGCTAACTGTATTCGCCGTAAGTTTCTAATTACTCTGTTTCTTGCAGTAAAGCTTTAGGTACTTTCGGGACTTTCGAGAAACGGGCCTAGTATCAGCATTGATTTGATTAAAACAGATGAACTTTTTGAAAATTTGCACCGTATTCAAGGTGACCGGGCCTATCCAAAACCGTTGCGTAAATACAATGTTGAAAACTTTTAATGTTTTTTTTTTTCTGTTGTGTTACCAGAGTTGAACGAAAAAAGTTTGTTCATTTTTTCGTCTTGTTTGCTACGGTTTACGTTTGACCTGTACGGCGAGGTAACAGTAGCCTTGATTCAAAAGGATATCGAAAAGTATCTTTCATCTATCAGCCACGCCATTTTTAGCACGTGACAATTCTGACGAATCAGAAGCCAAGGTTGAAATTAGGAACTTCATCGTTTGTTTACATGAATCATTCGAAATCATGCATGGAGAAGTGAACATAAACTTGCTTGACAAAATGTTTCTAACTACTGCCGATATTGTTACGCGTTTAGGGAAACTATTTGGATTTTTTTCCTAAATGGGTTACGTAAATATCAGAGAGAGAAACGATTCGACAAAATTTTCGAGGCAAAGTGTGGAATGGAGAATGTAATCACAAGTACTCTGCCGCGTTTAAAAACTGTCGAGTCAAGGTACAAGAAACCAGTGTCTCATTTAAAATCATTTGAACGCGAAGGATTTCGCATGTTATCTATCAAAACGCATCCAAGATTAACAAGCTCTTCTTTTTATTACTTGTCTTTGGTCTCTTTTTTTCCCAAGAATTTTCTGGAATGCTCACCGTCCCCTAGTTTTTTCGTAAGATCGTCTGCATCGAGGGCTTACAGGTATGGGCAGCCATCTTGGTTTCATATCTACCGAGGGGGAGGGCGCCAGGGTTTATAATAATGGGGGGAAGGGGGAGCGGAAGAGGAGAAAAAAAACAAAATCCAAAACCGTCCCCGCCCCTTATAAAGTAGATTTGACACTCATCCCCAGGCTAGACTCGGAACATTTGACTGGCCAAGATGGCCGCCCGTTCCGCAAAGCGCCCGATCTCCGACGATCTTACGGACAAATAGGGGACTTTTAACAGCCTAAAAATTTATAAAACTAATCTACAACAAGATAAGTCATCAGCAATAAAATATTTCTATTAATTAAGAGTTTTGCATGGTCTTTACCGATTTAAATGGGGTTGTTTAGTCATTCTAATCAGCGGTGTGGAACATTCCATAGCCTCCTCGCCTGGTGACCAAAAGCGCAACATGAAAGACTGGAAACCGAATTTTAGAAAGAGGCTAGAATACCTGTTCTGTCAAGAACAGTGTGTAAAAGGGGTTAGGGGCTAGACTTCGAGGCCGGCGCCTCCCTGCGGTATAAAACATTGTAGAGTACCCCCCTCTCTCTTCCCAGCGGCATTTGAAGCTTTTGCCATGCGCAACCATGTTCTCTAAAGTCGACAGCAGCTAGATCATAGTACCTGAAACTTGAAAGTTTTCAAATGTGCCGTTCTTTAATCGATGTTATTCTTTTAGGGTAGATGATTCTTAATTCTTTTATTAGTTTAATGTTACGCTTTCGATATTTTTAGAGTTTCCCTCGTTTTCTTTAGTTATGTACATCAGAGAACAATAACCCAACAATTAATGACGGTACGGGAAAAAAAAAACACAAAAGCTGGAAAAAAAGCAATAAGACTGTAAGAAAGCTAAAGCTGAACGAACCAGAGTCACCATCTATAAAGGTTTAATTTGAAGGTTCCAGTTCACTTTCTAGTCCTTCAATTCCTTTCGGCGATACATAAGTGGTATCTGTCCGATTTTTATCAAAGTTAGATAATCATTTGAGGTTTTCTGTATGCAAAAATTTGTTTTTGCCTCTCAAAGTTAAATCAAAGCAGACAATAACTAGATAGGTTTGCATTTCTGGGCGGAGACCAGATCTTTTCTAGAAAATTTCGTTAATGAGACAAAAAAAGGTCTGAAAATCAAGCCATGCAGGAGCTTTGCTTTTACGCACACTTGATTATCATAATCCATAAGGAGAGATTTAACTTCTTTGTAAATAAACAGCCACTTCACCCACTCTCTGGGAAAAAAAACGCCAATGTCAAGGTCAACAGTTGAGGAACCACGAGGTAAACGACAGCAACCAGCAGCAGAGTAACCGAAATCTCTTTTGGACAGTGCTTATGTGCTTTTAGGCACAGACCAAGACTTTCCTTCTGTTTCATTTATGATTTTTTTTAAATCCCCCAGTACTATTTTGGTTTAGTTTGCGTAAGGTAATCGCTCAAGCCATTAAGCAGAAATCAAAACTTGTTGATTAATTTTTGTGTTTTAGCTTCACTCAATTCAAATGGTAAATATTTGCGCTACTAGCCTCCGGGGTATTCAAGGCAAAGTCACGAAACACTGCAAGCCTTAGTTTTTTCGGAAGCTTTGTTGAGTATTCACGTGATTTTTTAACTGTTAAACAGCGTTAGGCCAACTTTTCAACAAACTTTGCTCACCTTTTTTTTGGGGGGTTTTCAATTCATGATTCAGACTTTTTCTTTGAAAAAGTTTGGCTCCGCTCATTTCAAACAATGAAAATGGTTAACTTAAGAATTTCCTTCAACTTCCTCGAGCCATATCAAGGTTATATAAATTCCCATCGGTAATTATCTCTCCACACTTGTTATAAGGTCTTATAACGTTATGCGTGATATTAGTTAATTGCCAGCTGTGAATCTTCAAGAAAAATAGGGCTTCCATCAGCCAAA